ACTTGGATCAAATGGATGGCAGCTGTTCAGGGACTACGTCCAGGAGAGTGGAATATACGCGTAGGCTAGTCGGGGGATGGCAGGGATACCTGTGCCTCTGAGGTGATAGATCAAAGGCTAGGTGGTTTGGCATGGACAGAGAGATTAGATTCGAGGCTCAGGCGCGTGGTTGCTGAGGCGGAACGATGGAAGGGAGATTGTTGAAGTTTTTCTTTTGTAATGCGGGATTTCGCGGGAAAGTTTTTGTTTTTGTGACGGGAACCCCGAGTTGGTGATGATAATGTCGATTTAATAAACTGTATAAAGAAGAAAGAGAAATCTAGCTACAACTAACGGGTATTTATAATATTCAGCCTCTCAGTGATTGTCTTGACTGATTTCTTCACCCTAGGCCGAATACTTGCCACCCAGCCACATAATATCAAGAATCACTACGCTGTGACACTGATCTGGCCCCTTGGCTGGTAGTGCCGTATCTTCCAGTTTCCTCTATCATTTCCTTACAGTCTTACAACATGAATCTTCAACAATACGCTTAGGTATCCATATAAGCTCAGACAACGGCCAAACCGTAACAGTTTTGTTTTCAATTCTGGGCTACCGAATTTGTCATTGTTCAACACATAGATGCATTTTGGCATGGTTCCGGTCATTTAGGTGGGACGAGGCATTTGTACTGCACGGTAGTTAACCTGATCCGGCCCGACCCCACTCGTGCTCAAGCTCCAGTAGGAGTGCGACGGTAGTTACTTCACCTAGCACGTTAATGAACAAACAAACAATTTTTTGAAATTCGAATTTTCGAATCTTCACCCTTTCCTCATCTCCATCCCTCTCGCGCTCGTCGCATTCCTTCAGTAAATTGTCATCGAGTCGCTGGCATCTTAACCATGCCACCTATTCGTAAAAAGCGTCCCAACGCCAAGTTGGACAACACGAGAGTCCGCCCGAGGGCTCTCGAAAAATTACCTGACCTTGCCCAGTCTCCAAAATGCGCGGAGATGAGCAAGGTCTCAACTAAAGGGAAGGAAAAAGCCCTACCCGCCGTCACTGAGCCCGATACTGACATGATCGGGTCAGTTGAAATTGTTGAGGAATTTCCCCAACCATCCTCCGTCCCTCACGGGACTGGAGAATCGTCAAAATCTCCTCCGACAGCGTCAAAACCGTCGGAAAACGCTGCAGTCAAAGCAGCGCCAAAATCAACGTCGCAGCCAAAAGCTGCCACAAAAGCAGAGTGTCCCCTAGAGCTTCGACCAATTGTCGAAGCTGAACAACGATGCGCTGCCGAAACAGCGCCAAATCTGGCCCTCTGTTCCGCCGCCATTGCGCAATACATGGCCACGGGCCCGGCCATCACGCCACCCGTCCTCCCTCCTCGCCCTGCGAACCCGACCCCAAGGGCTCCAGAAGCCAGGAGCAATACAACACCCGCCGTCCCAGTGCTGCCCGTAAAAGGCACCTGGGCCACGGTGGCCAAAAATGGACTGCGACAAAATGCAGCTTCTATAGCAAAGGCTGTGCCGCGACCTGCGGCGAGAGCCCAAAAGAAAGAAGCTCCCAAGGCGAAAGTCGATAAGCGACTGTTCCTTCGCCTGGAAAAGGAGCACCCATGGCGGAATTTCTCAAACAACATTGTGAAAAGTAAGGTAGCGGACACGCTTAATCTCTCTTACAATGATATAACCTCGATTCATCGAGTAAAGACCGGCTTTGCTATTATAGCAAAGAACGAAAAAATACGACAAGAGATCCTAGATGTCTCTCCGAAGCTGGCAAGTGAAAACGCCAAACTCGAAGCATCTTCGGATCTTGTCGCCTTACAGATACCGAACGTACCTGTAAGTATCGTTTCACAGTACGGCCCCGTAGCGACCGATGCTGCAAGTGTCACCGCTGAGATCTTCCTTACGACCAGCGCGTATCCAATCCAGGTCCGACCTCATGGGACATGTCGACCTGGGGCACCGTATCAAAACTGGCATGCCCTTTTTCACCGGGACGAAGCCCCTCGTGCGGGCTTCCACCTTTTCGACGATTCGGGTATGGCTACCATCCATGAGCCTCGTCGATCAATTAAACAGTGCAAACGCTGTTTGGGCATCCACGCCACTAGTGGTTGCTCCCGCGCTCCGGCTTGCTGGAACTGCGGATCAAATATGCACTCCGAAACAGAGTGCAAGGTCCTCACACTCTGTCGTAACTGTGGGGGACCTCACCGATCGGATTCTCGGGCCTGTCAAGTCAGACCAAAAAAACCCGGACCGGTGACCAAAGAGCAGCTCGCGTGGATTCGCCACATCGAACAAGGGGATTTCGCGAAGGTGGCACGAGCCAGGGCTGCAGCAAAAAAGGCCGAAGAGGAGATCATCGCCGCGGCGAAGGATGTCTCGATGGCCCAGGCAACAGGTTTCAGAGCTCTGGGATCTGAAGAAGAAGTTTGAGGACACAGCAACCTCGACGATGTCCCCTTTTGGGGCATCTACTAACCAATAGCAGGATACCGGCTGGATCAAAGGTGCCTGCTAATGTTACGGGTCCACAACTAATGTCGATCCCTCGCATATTAGCGCGCACTTGGCATATGTGTAGAACGTGTTTTCCCTCTGTATTTACCTCTCATTCTTCATAGAGAATCTGAATAGACTACTTTCCCTCGTTTGATTGACTAAATCACGACCTGTTTCGTGACAGCTAACTCATCTCTTGCTCTCAGCGGAGATCGAATAAATTTTGTCATTTGGAAGGTGTGACGGACAAGGGAATGTGTGAGGAGCGCATTTACTGGGTCCAATATGGAGGAATCTTCTGGTATTCGGAGTTGTTTTGATTTTTGTGACTTTTCGTTCTTGTTCAATCAGCTGCACTTTTGGTAGCGATTCACGAGGTTGGAACGAGTTAGGCTGTAGGAAAAGTTACAGGGAACCCTGCCGGATCCACCGGTCCTTGACCCAATGTGGAAAACATAGCTTTAGCTTAGGACCGAATGTATATAAAAAAAAAACAAACATCCTTCCTTTCTCGGTTAGACAAGGACAGATGTTGGAACATCGACTAGTGTGCAGAACCCCCTTATTCATGTGTATAGAGGAAGGTCCTGTCAGGTAGATATCTTAAGCAACTCATACAATAGGAAATTGAAACAATCTCCATATTATTTACACGCTTGAGAATATTAAGAAATATCCTCAAGTTCGTCCATTGATCCAAGTCCTAAGAGTATAACTCACGAACTTTACTTCTCTTAAAGCCATAGCTACCTCCTTCCATACCTTCATCCTAACGGTACGTCATTCCAGCTCAGCATAGCCATTCAATAGTGGGTGCTTTCGCTGATAACACTCGAGATCTTTGTGCTAGGGACTCTCGACCTTCCCTCAACCGTTATTATCCATTATAGGGGAAACAAGAAAAACTTTTGTCTACTATAACATGCCTTTGTCATCTTATATATAGCCGCCGCGCGAGTTATGGCCTCACAGTCCTCTATTTCTTGAATAAAGTAGGTTTCCAGACTACCCATCCTTTAAATCGGGGAGATGACGACCAGGAGTCGGGCCAAAACACCTTCCATCTTTGCCAATTTTTGAAGTGTCGGTAGCACTATCCAAAATCCTTGCCCCGGCGCTCACAAGTCTTCCAAAGTCGAAAACACTCGAAAAATGTGAGTACCAGTCTGCCCATTTGTTTCCTCTCCACCCGCTCGTCCCATGTCCCAGCTGCCTGTTCTCCCTCGAAATGTGAAGCCCCATTAGAGCAACGGTCCCCCATAGACCAAGACCCGAGCTTTGTATATTATAACTTATTTTTCTCCTTGAAGGTATATGTAGCGTCGTAAATTTGTAGTGAGTGGTGGCCAGTAATGAAAGAGGCAAGCTCCTGGTTGCAATTGGAGTAACACCATAATCGAAAGTTGAGGCGAGTTGGTTTGGGGTATGATTAATTTGAAGGACTTGCATGAGGAATATATGACTGAAATTGTAGAAAAGTCATTGATTCTAGATATACTTGAGAATGCTTTCGAATTCGATTCGTTTGCGATTATTCTTAGCTATCCCATATGTGCAGAGCATACTGAGTGATTATACCGGCGCCACTGGTGTGGATGGTGCAGTGGTACACCATTCGGGCCGTTCACCTAAGTAGATACTGGGTAGCTTGAACACCTACCCTATTTGAGACAGGAGAAAGCTGGTTAGAATCCAGCCAGACCCACACACCACTTTCTCTCGCGGTGATATCGTACTTGCGGGATGATGAAAGCACACTTGGATAGCCACAGGGTTTTCACGCTTTTCCCTGTGGTGGGTACGCACGGAAGAGGTTATACGCCGTAAGGGTTAACCTCGAGTGGTATCTGCAAATGAAATCTGAGTGTGAGTGTCCTAAATTTCATATTGAGTCATCCTTCTTGAACTACATGTCTTCCGATAAAAAACCTGCATGGGCCTCAAGGCGCCAAATCAGGTTAATGAACAATTTATCTATATGCTGGTACCACTGGGAGGCGATGAATATGCCCATGCAGGCCAACTAGGAGCTAGAAACTAGGTATGTATGACCTCTAACTGCTAGTGAACAAACGCAGAGTTTATGTACAAGGGTAAATATTATGAAATTTATGGACCAAAGTTGCCGAGAGATGAGGGGCTTGGCAACACTCTGCTTAATTTAGACTTCGATACGGATAGACCCGTAAGTCCCATATCGTGAGCTCCGAGAGATCACAGTTTCACCTAACCTACAAATAACTGCACCGGTCTCCCAAAGAAGGGAAGAAGGTTCGAAATGACTTTAAAAGGCACAGACCTAAATGTGTCATTAATTATCACGTGCTTCAAAAGGTTCTGGATATGGCTAGCCATGTAGCACATCCCTACATCTATTGATACAGACTGTCATCTTTTGCCTAGGGAGGCAGACGAAGCTCATCGTTTTACAATCAAGATTCAAGACCGCTGCCTGACTGAACACATTTAATACAAACTTTACTCCAGGCCATGGATCGACCACCTGATAAAAAGGTCGTGGAAATGAATGAAACTCCGATTCCACCATTACTTACACAACAAAATTTTGAAAAAGAGCTTCAGAACTTGGCGATACGAGCTCAACAACAGACTTGGGCTCACTGGGCTTTTCGGCAGGCGTGGATTTTGTTACAAGCTGGTACCTTGTATATTCTTGCAGCAACATACGCTAATATTTCTTTGCTCAGTCTCTCACCTGTATATGGCGGGATTCCGTCCGCTCTATGGCATCCAAAAGGCACCTGGATATCTTGCTTTGTGGGATGGTCGCTGAATAAATATATCGGGCAACTATTGCCATTAAAACCTCGACAGGCCTTGCCACTTATCGCCGCCTACATTCCAGTGATGCAATTTTTTCTATGCAAATATAGCAGCATATTAGGCGTATATTATGGGCCTCTAATCGTCGAAATGCTTACATTCTTTCCGCTTTTGACCACGTCTGTGGCTGTCGCAGCCAGCCTCCTAGATGGTTTAGATATGAGGTGGGACCTATTACCCCTTTGGATCTCGGATTCTTTGCCCGGAATATTGTCATTTTTATTTTTGAAGACTATGGAACTTTTTACGGAGGGCGAAATTAAACGAACTATTGGAGCATCCTTTATTCAAACCCGGCTAGGATTTCAAATTGCTCTGGCAGGCGCGTATGCAGTATTTTCACCCTCCAAATTACTATTACTTCTCCTTCCGGCCATTATACATACCGCTATATTTAATACTCATGTTCCATCTTCGTACGCGACCCAAACTCTAAGCACTTCACTGGCTGAAAAGGGATGGACCCTACTTCAACGTCAAGAATCTCTCACTGGCTATCTCTCGGTCTTAGAAAATAATAGCAAAGGATACCGCGTATTGAGATGTGATCACAGCCTACTGGGCGGTGAATGGATACACAACTCTGAAGGTAAAGATCTAGCTGAGCCAATTTACGGTGTATTTGTTATGCTTGAAGCTGTAAGACTTGTAGAAGTAGAAAAAATTGTTTCTGACTCGGATGCCAGAGCTTTAGTTATGTATGTAAGATCACTCAAGCTTGTATACTAGTTACTGATAAAAAATACAGCGGTTTAGGGATTGGAACTACACCCGCAGCGCTTATAAAACACGGTATCAATACTACTGTTGTAGAAATTGATCCTGTTGTTGTCGAGTTCGCCAATACGTACTTTCATTTACCCCAGACTTACCAAGCCATCGTTGCTGATGCTGTTACTCACATTGCCGCGCTGACGTTGACTAATGAAAGATATGACTATATTGTGCATGACGTGTTTACAGGGGGTGCCGAGCCGGTCCAACTTTTCACTGTCGAATTTATACAAAACCTAAAGACAATTCTCAAGCCTGAAGGTGTAATTGCAATAGTTCGTACACCCCTTCCGACAAAATCCTTATGAATTCGATTGACTGACAGTTTTTAGAATTACGCCGGTGATTTTTCACTTCCTACTGCTCGAATAATTGTTAACACCATTCGCACCGTGTTTACCTCTTGCCGCATTTACCGAGAGTCTAAGGCCCCAATCTCACAGGCCTCAAGTGCTCAGAGCGATTTCACAAATATGGTCATTTTTTGTATAAATAGTGCCAGCAAAGTACGCTTTCGTAAGCCTCAGGAAGCTGATTTCCTAAACAGCCAGGCTCGTCGCCAATTTCTACCACCGAAACACGAAGTTGATTATACAGCATTAGTAGAGCAAAAAGGTGACAATGGTATTCTGCGACAGAACGAGACAGACAGGTTCCAAGCTTGGCAACAGCAAAGTTCTATGGGTCATTGGTCGCTTATGCGAACTGTTTTACCACCCGAGATTTGGGAAAATTGGTGAAGCTCAAGTTAAGTACATAGAACTAGATGACTCAAAATGAACAACATTTCCTATTCGATCTTATCAGCAAGGACGTCTATCCTGTTCTCTTAAGATTTTCAAGCCTTTCTTTTAGGCTTATAACGGAGTTACCAATTGTGATATTCGTAAGACTTTCATGCAGGAAATTAAATTTCGTTGCTCCCCCTTCAGCTCGTCTTTACACGCCTAAGTTGCCGTGTATGTCCGGACAGCTCCATAGCCCCAGCAAGAAGTCTGTTCCAACAATCTTACGATCCGATTGAGCCCAGTCAATGCTCAGCAATTCAAACTTGCTCGGAAGGGTGTGCTGTAAAAGCTATCAGGTGTGGCATTTGAAGTGGCATGAGATCCGAAGCATCAATTGGCCAAGGGGGGACCAAATAGCCCTGAACATAAAGGAACAGCTAGTATTATTCGTTCATCAAAGCAAACCCATCTTAGCTTTGTCTGAAATGTGGTGATTAATTGATTCGGCACTTTGAGTCGAAATGAGAGCTTAACATCAGTTCTTAAGATTAAATGGGTCAGATACTAATAGCCGCGGGTCGCGTTATCATCGAATCCCACCCGCGAAAGGATAATAAGATCATAAGGTTCAATAGCCGTCATCATGGCCTAAAAAAGACATCTAGTGAGGCATAAGTGCTCTACCTTTAAGATGAGTCATCAATTTTGCACTCTTTCTTTGATATTGAGTCGTATCTAGATAGCTGTATACGCAATTTAAATCTGATACAAGAAAAAGATAACTAGGCCAAGCCGATCTGAGAAAATTGACGAGGATAATTGCAACTTCACAATATAGGGATCGCTTGTGAGTGAGTGAATGATGCTTTATAAAGTGCCACTAGAGTCATAGATTATCTAGCACATTGGGCTCCTCTCTGACCCAGGCCGCACCTTGTGCAATCCTCCTTGCCTCTCGTATTTCTTGAAAGTTCATTGATATATTGCCCGTGATGAATAGCTACTCAACTCAGTATTTACCAGTGGAGTTCGGCCACCTTTCCCACGGAACCTTCTTGTTACGGGCTGTGCCCAGTTCGATTAGGCCGGGCTATCTTTCAGGCCCAGCCTCGTTCAAGGACTTTAATCAAGTGATCCAACATGGGGTCGTCTCTCATGACTCGAATCACTCAGTTGATTATGCTGAGGCTGGGAAAAAGATCACTCAGTATCGAACGATTACGTGTCAGGAATCAAGATCACTGGTAGCTGCAGAGGGCATATTTAATGTAACAGATTTCCTGTAGTTAGTCTCTAGATAAATATTAACTCTTTGCGGTACTATTTACGTGCGGTGTCCGTAATTCTCCTCGTCCTTAACACTTCTACCCAATGAAAAATAAAAATGGAAGCAATGGAAACTGCGTGCCCGGGATAAGTCTCAAAAAAACCTGCAGCCCCAGCCAGGTGAGGCCTAGACACCGGGACCACATGAGGTGCGCATATTCATCTATATCCCCCTTCTTTGTAACAGTCGAGGCCGACTTGATCCAATCCACCATCGCCGTATCGGGTGCTGCGTACGCTCCGGAAACTCATTGGATGGCTTTTCCTCTATAATCAAGGGTGGGTGATGAGAAGGGCTTCGACCCAAACATCTGGTCAGATGGTGGTTAGCTTCATGACAATAGTGATAGGGGAATGTGTGGAGGGATGAAGACGATACAGACCGCGAAGGCGATTGGGAATCCGCATCGAAGTGAAAACTTTATTACTAAATCTCGGCTCTTCATGCTCTAAAGTGAGATCTGGAGGTTTGTGAGGGACACCAATGACTAGTGTTGAGAAAAGTCTCCCGCAGGAAGGTAGAAAGACGGACACTTACTCCATTACACCCAGACATTTTTCACAGCCGCAAACTTAGTAATAAACATGATTCATCGGAATATTAACCAGCTACTTTAATTCAGTATACAGGAAGAACTTGTGAAGCCCCATCGGATTATCAACCGGCCAAAATCGGGCGTGGCCCTCACCATCTATTGGCAAATATCAAGCACATCAATATCCAAGTTTACTATCAACTTTAAAGCTATTTGGATAGTTTTAGTTGTCCTTCATGGTCATGGACCTAGAAGGGATATTAAGAAGTTCTTTTCTATTATCTGTCTATGGGTAACATTTCACCTACTCATGTAAACTAAGCTATTCTCAAGGCGAGATTAGGACAGTGTTCTACAGGGTGCGTATGTGGTCTAACGAAGATCTAGGTGGTAGACGAAGGTGATGAGTGGGTCGAAGGGATGACTGGTCTTCTCTAGGAAGAGACAAATAGGTAGATAGTAACGATAGAGGCTACACGTGGGTCTTGCTGATGAAGAGCTGGAAAGAGATAAATGGTCTTCCCGAAGAAGAGATGGGTGAACAAATGTAATGTTAAGGTAATTGAAGAAGACATTGCGTGAAGAATAATGCTTCTTCATGCCAAGTATTTATATACATAAAATTACCAAATAGCATGTAGCACACAGCCCCTATGCCCAACAATCTGCTACACATCACCTAATGAAACTAGCCCTTTCTTGTCAGTCTTCCTTGCTGGTTTTAGAAGTGCATTGAACTATTATTTGTGTTTTAAGTTAGCCATCTGAATGGCGTTTCATAATACGCTATGCCACAATGATCCATGAAAGCTAGACAGGTCACATGACTTTCATAGCAGTACATAGATTTCATCTGTTGCTACATGGTTTTTCAGTCAACATTTACAACGTAATACCGTGTCCCACGTATCTTTCTTAAGAGGTTATGACCCTTGCGCTTCCTGTGGAATCACGATTCATTCTTCTGTTGTTCTTCTGTGTACAACTCCATTCAGCAATCAGTTTCTAATACTATTGTGTCCTTGTTTTGTATCTACACTTACACCTCTACCTTTCAGTTTTTATCAAACAAGGTATCTCTGGCTCGCCACTGTCACATCTTAAATCTTTGATTCCTCTTTAACATGGCTCCACCTAATCTTCGTGCCAACAATTTGGCACTTCCTCCGGCGTTGAAACTTCATGGCATTGCTAACCTAAAAGACTGGATGCTTCTCATTGAATCGACCTTGCAACAAAACGCTCTCTCAGATTGGATCTACCCAATAAAGACTGAAGCTATCTACAAGTCTGAAAAGGAAACTGGCTCTAAAGATTGGTCCAGCTCAAACAAGCTTGTCAAAATGACACTGGCAATCAATGTTGATCCGGAATTCATTCAGATCGTCATGGCCGAAAATCTAGCCTGCGACAGCTATAAAAAGCTTTGTTGCTTTCTTCAAGGAAACAGCATTGCTGCTGTTGAAACAAGTATCACCAACTTCCTCGACCTCATAGAGAACTTTCAGAAGTATTCATCCTGCCAGGCTTATATTCTGGCTCATAAATCGATGGTCTCTAGTCTTCATCCTCTCGGTACACCTCTTCCCTCTCTTGTATACTGTCTGGTGTTAATCCGTGCGGTATCCATAAAATACCCTCAATGGGCATCCACCCAAAGATACCACTTCTCTGTTGCAACTTCTGTCAATCCTGCTCCTACACTTGACACTCTATATACAACTCTCCAAGACCACATTAGATTGGCTGAGAGCATAGCGCCTATTCCAGTATCTCTTGCACAAGCTCATGTTACAGGTCCCAAGTTTCAGAGAAACAAGAAGTGGGATGGTCCCAACTGCCAATGGTGTACTGGTATGCATGATGACACAAAATACTTCTTTAAATACCCAGAACAGCGTGCCGAGTATATGAAGAGACTTCCTAGGGCTAATTATACCGAAAATAAAAAGTGGCGTTCTGAGTTTCAAAAACATCACCCACCTAGCAAAATTTCCACTCATTACTCTGGCTTTGATGCCTGTTTTGAGAACTATGATCCATTTCGAAAGGATACCAACAGCCGCGTTCAGCCAGCACTTTTTCCATCACAATCATCCTCAAGTTGTACAGCTGCTAACCCATATTTTGTGGATTTTAATCCAAGTCCTTTCCAATAGTGTTGCCCAGGAGTTTTGAGAACACCATCAACTCCCACCTACAATTCTTTTGCGAAGAGTCAACAAAAGGCTATTACAGTATCCCAATCTCAGATAGAGTTACGCCAACATAAATGTAACTTTTGCAACAAGGATCATCATCTGTGCTCGTCCAGAACTGGAATTAATTCCGCATTTGCTGCAGCAGTCCCGGCTGCAAGTTCTCGTGATATCTGGCTTCATGATGATGGTGCCTCGGTTCATATCACTAATGATATAAATGCGCTCTTCCGTTATTGGCCAGTTATCACGGGCAGTAACTTAGTCTTCAGGGTAATATATTTGTAGTTGCATAAAGGAGAAACTAAATGGTCTACGGAATCTACATGTACGCGTGCTCACCCAATTGCCACGCTAGTGGTATCACCATGCCAACGCTAGTACCCGTGACACTACTCTCTTGCTAAACAAGAAAAACACTCTTGTATCTTGTAACAGAAAATTAATTTATCTGCGTTTTAGCCATGGCCTTGTTTCATGGATCCTTGTGGCATAGCGTATGATGAAACGCCATGCGAACGGCTAAGTTAAAACACAAATAATAGTTCAATGCACTTCTAAAACCAGCAAGGAAGACTGATAAGAATGGGCTGGTTTCATTAGGTTATGTGTAGCAGATAATTGGGCATAGGGGCTGTGTGCTACGTGCTATTTGGTAATTTTATGTATATAAATACTCGGCGTGAAGAAGCATAATTCTTCACGCAACGTCTTCTTTAATTACCTTAACAATACATTTGTTTACCCATCTCTTCTTCGGGAAGACCATTTATCTCTTTCCAGCTCTTCATCAGCAAGACCCACGTGTAGCCTCTATCGCTACTATCTACCCATTTGTCTCTTCCTAGAGAAGACCAGTCATCCCTTCGACCCACTCATCACCTTTATCTACCACCTAGATCTTCGTTAGACCACATACGCACCCTGTGGAACACTGTCCTAACCTCGCCTT